AGGACATGTAGACCATATCAACATGATGATGGGGCTACATCCCACCTACCTGACCTGCTTCCTGCGAACACAGAATGCTTTGCTCCAGCTGGATGGCCCTCTGCCTCTGTCATGGAGACATTTTATTATCATATTGGTAAGGGAAGAGACATATATTTCCGTTTGGGACATTTAGATTGCAAGTTTTAAATATACACAAATGAGTATATGCTTATAATATACACAACAGTAATTTTCTGTGTTTGTGCAGGCGTCTGCACGTCACCAGTGCTCGTACCTAGTGCAGCATCACAGCTCTGCTTTTCTGCTTGCTGGCGGAGATGAGTCCTGGCTTAAAGGACTTCACTGTACACCACCCAAAATACAGCACCTGCAGACACTCAACAAACTGCTTGCACACAGACCCTGGATCATCACCCAGGAACATATACAGGTAAAAAACACAGATCATCAGTGTTATGAACAGCTATCATCAGTGATCATCCTTTTAAAAAGGTATATAGCTCCACTACAAGTTGCTAACAAAAAAAAAGCTAGCTACATTGGACATACAGTATCTTTATAAATTTAATATCAGAAAATTAATTCTACAATTACAGCATTTATCTAGAACATAAACATCTGTATTAGGGTGACAACCTTAAACGGATTTATTTATTTTTTTACTTTTTAACATTAAATACTAGATAGCTGCAATCACCAACTAGTACATCTAGAAAATACTAATTTATACAAGTATGAGCATAAACACCTGCAGCATTTAATACATCTGTGAATTATTGATTTGAATCATTTATTTGATCTTTGAATAAATTCACTAAAGTAAATGTAGTAAGGCTGCACGAACAACAAAATTAAGAATAATTCAGTGATTTGTACAATTCATTTGTCTATGTCTACTGTTATTGCTGTTGTTTTATTTGTGTTGTCCTTTGTTGTCTGCTTGTGCCATCTTCCCTGTTGTGAGTTTATCTCAGTTTTATGCTTTATAAGTTAATGCTCTGAGTGATTGTTCTGCAGCGCATTTGACAGATATCCATTAACAAATCCGTTTAGATTTTTTTCAATATTGAGTTTTCACACCATCTTTCTAAAACTCTGAATACTATGATAACACAAACACAAAAATGAAACTTAAGCACTATAGATTCATTCAAGTTTATAACAGAAAGATAAATACAACTAATTATTGAAAAAAAATGTTTTATATTGTGCAGTCAACACTTGTTTTCTACTACTACTCATTTATGAATTAAGAAGCTTTTAAAAACTTGTTTTAAAAAAACAAATCTTACATATTCACAGGAGTTAGTTTGTCCGGGTGCAGAGGCTCGGTGGTCCCTGGCAGAACTGATTCAGGCTATTGTTTTGATGAGCCATGCCCACTCTCTAGCCTCATTTGTTTGGGGTTGTGGTATTCTCCCAGAGCCCGAGCAGTCAGGAGATCAGTCGCTCCAACTGAGTTCACCCACAGAGTCCTGTTCTGCCCGAGACAAGAGCAGAAATCAGCAAGAGGTATCGAATTGTGACTGATGTATTGATCACAAGTAAAGGAGAATATTTTGTTTGTTTTGCCCAGGTAAATCTCTTTAATGTGTATATGTGTGTGTCTGTGCGCAGTGGTCTGAGGCTGTGAACGAGGTCAAGCTTTTGATGGAGAAGATGATGATGGTTCAGCAGCAAGGTGAAGAGTTTACACAAGAAGAGATGGTTACTTGCTTTGAAAGAGAAAGGACTGAGAGTTTGCTGGAACCTGCTGATGGTATGAACACACATATACATAATTCAATACACCCAAAGGCAGGGTTTCTCCTGGGACAAAATAGCGTTCTGTTGTAGCTTCTGAACATGCTCATTCACATGAGAAGTTGATGAATTACAGTACATCCCGTAAATCTCATTAAATATAATAAAATTTGTTTTAGCTGCCACCAAGTCAAATTTTGGGCCTTCCTGGGCAAATTTTATAATATTGAATGTATTTTGCAATTTTAAATGCCTTATAATGGATGTTTCACATCTTTTTTTGCTTCCTGTTTCTTCACTGCCTGACCTTTGTCATCTTTTTTTCCTATACAGTTCAGTGGTGTGTCCTTCCTGATTGTCTCTCGCGGTTTGTTGTGGATGCAGATTTTACTTACCAGGATTTTAGTCCTAGAGGAATGCAGGCCCCCCCAACCATGAGAGCTCAGGTTCAATACTCTTAAATATTCTCACACAGTGTTAAAGAACAGAAGGCATTATTTTTGCTGAAGTATATAATATGTATTATAAACAGTGTTATTACATCCAGTGTTATTTTAGTATTATTCATGTACTGTTCTAGTAATTAATTAATTAGAAGCACAGGTCCTTAAGAACTGCAAGGCATTTCTGCCTGTCGCACCTCCGCCAGTGTCAATGGGCCAGCCACAGAGTCATCAGGGTCATCAGCTCTATTTATACAGTGTATATATATTCACTTTAGTTCAGTTTAGCTAAATATTGCTATTTTTTGTTTTAGACTTAGACCTTTTACTACTTCAACTTAAGTGTATTTATTTAAATTAGTTTCCAATGCAACATTTCTAATTTTAGTTTTTCCATGTAATATTTATATTTTATTTCAGCCTTATTTCAATTACTGAAAACTATTTTTAATCATTTTAGTTAACAATAACAGCACTGGTTATATCATGATCCTTGTTTATGATTTTGTGCTTTCAGGACTATTCGTGGGAAGATCACGGTTTCTCTCTTATGAACAGGCTGTATGGAGAGATGGCACAGCTTCTGGATGAGAAATTTCAGGTGGTGTGTGCGCTCACGTATCACACCATGGCCATGCACTCACATGTGGACACCTCCACACTCCGCAAAGCCATCTGGAACTACATTCACTGTATCTACGGCATCAGGTCAGTCATGCATGCATCATAGTCATGAAACGAGCTTAGAACGTTCACCCATATGGAACAAAGGTTAGGTTAGGGTTAAAAACAGTCCTCGCCATAATCATATATAAAGACTGCACATTATGAGGGAAAAGGTAGACATAAAATGCATTACTTTTGGTGGTTAAATTTCTAAAATTGCTCTAATGCGAATCTGATGTGATCTAATGTGCACTTGCATGTCAATGTTCGCCTACACAGGTATGATGATTATAATTATGGGGATGTCAACCAGCTGTTGGAACGCAGTTTAAAAGTGTACGTTAAGACAGTGGCTTGTCACCCGGAGAAAACCACAACAAGAATGTACTTCTCTTTTTGGAGGCAGTTCCGCCACTCGGAAAAGGTACAAGATGTGTGAGATTTCTTGTTGATGATTCAAGTGTGTTCATATTTTAATAAATTGCATTTGCTTAAAATTAATTTACATTTTGGAGTAATGTTTTAGTGGCCTCTAGTGGTTCTCTTCAGAGTTAAACTTTTTTTGACAAGTTATGCCAGACCAAAAACTCCTTTTAAATGTTTTATCATATGGCCAAGTTTTCATTGTGCCTGGTAACTTGCTTTGTTGATAATGTTACAGTAAAACATTTAAAATTAAGTTTCAGTAGAGGTTTCATAACAATGATAGCACTGTTATGATACAGCCTATCTTTTTTTGCTGTACTTCACAAGTGGATTTATCACTTAGGGGTAGTAAAATGCCTGTATATTTCTGGTTTAAGACGTGTTGTTCTTTTTATGCAGGTCCATGTGAACCTGTTATTGATGGAGGCACGACTGCAGGCAGCTTTACTTTATGCTCTCAGAGCAATTACACGCTACATGACCTAATATGCGCACAAGAGCTTTAAAACGGGATGACCTGTATACACTATTATACTCTGATTGTAGCGTGTGTTGAGACACAAATTGCACACAATCACACTTTAAAAGTACAAAGTCTCAAGAGCAATTTAGTTTCATTTTCTCTTTTCTTTGCAATATTTTAGGCTTATGTGGGCTGGTTGGTCAGATGCTACTGGATCATGATTGGATTTGGGAGACAGCGAATTCTGCACATGTCCTATGAGTAAATTTACTCGTTGTGGTCTTTCTCTTATCATACTGTGAATGTGTCTTTGCCCTGCTGCAGTATTCTGTTCTGTGTGTTTGTGCATTTTGATGAATGTTTATATTCACTATGATATTGACAATGTTTATATTGACACTAAGAACTCTACATTGCCTATTTCTCTCTCAGATTGAGAGCTGATTTAATGTGGGCTAAAATGGATGAAAAAGCACATTTTGTTGTTTTTTGTTGTTGGTGCATTTTTATGTATAATAAAATATTTTACAATGACATTACGGTTTTATTTGTTTGTATGTAATGTCCACAAGGCAAATTCCAAAAATGCACTTTTGCCACATGTCCCATGATTTTTGTAAGCATTAAAGGCATGTTTTTTTTAGCCCCCAAATATGCTTGATAAACTATTATCTAATATAAAATTACTTATTTAAAAATTAATAAAAACATTATTAGAATTTTTTTATTGTATACATATTGTCTTTATCTAATGTTGTAAAACTACGAACAAATAAAATCTTTTACACTATTTAAACATTTGACAAGCTGAATGTGCAAAAAAAAAGAAAACTAATAGAAAACAACCACTTAAATGACAACACAAGTGTCTTAAAATTAAGCACCTCCGTTCACTGAGCATATTTTGAGTTTAATGTAAAGTTTTGAACTCTAGTCGTGGTAAGGCAAGAAACGCAAATATTTTGTTTATTTATTTATTTATTTTTCAGCGTAACACCCTGAATATCTCCATTCGCTGGAGCCATGCAGAACTGCACTATCACCAAACAGCCACCAGGGGTCAGTAACGACCAAGAAACGTTTTCCGGTAGTAAGTGGCTTCCAAACCCGCGCGGGTATCTGATAGCAAAGAACTTACAATACAGCTACGATGTCTGAATATTTTATCCCATTAATATGTTTGCTGCAGTCAATTACCAACGCGTTTTTTTTT